AATTTGTTTGTTTGTTGTTAAGCCCATAGCTACATAATGGGCTAACTATACTTTACTCACCGCAGGTATCGAAACCCGATTTTTAGCGTTATATCTTTCATACTTTCCATTGAGCCGTTGGGGGCGATACAACGAAATGGAGCAGAAAATATTCGAACACAAACTTGAATAAAGCTGGAATTAAGAAACATTTACCTAATCATTGTTTGTTTTCTTTCAAAGTTTGTAGTGCATACTGGAGGGATTTACACAATGTGATAAAATTTTACATAAACAACCTTTACACTCCAGGTGTATATATGTTTTTTTTTATTACTACCATTATATTAGAATAATGAAACAACAATGATATTTTATACATTGTTGGAGACACGTGCGACAAACTTGAGAGATCGAACATTACAATCAATTTTATAAATTGATGTATACTTCAATGTTAAACAGTTTGTATGTATTAACCCCGAAGAAGCTGTAAAAGCGAAACGTTGGTAGTAATAAAAAACAACAACATATATATATATACATCTGGAGTGTAAAGGTCGTTTATCTAAACTTTTTACCACATTTACTTGATCATGCTTAAAGATTGTTGTTTTTACGTCATGTAATGGTTGTCATTAATATAATTACATTATTTTGCTACATATGACACAATAAACTGAGGTTATAAAAATAGTTTGATTTCTTGAATTATGCGCAAAGCGACTCGAATACTCTCTGCGTTAGCCGTCCCTAATTTTGAATTAATAGTCTAGAGGGAAGGAAATTAGTCAGCACCACACACCGCCAACTCTTGGGCTACTCTTTACCAACGAAGTGGGATTGACTATATAACATTATAATGCTCCAACAGCTGAAAGGCGAGCATGTTTGGTGGGGGGGATTTGAACCCGACATCGCGCATATGAAGTATATTTTAAAGTTATTTCGTCGGTCGGCTCTTTAGCGTTTGACCATCAGGTCAGGGGTCTGCTTACTTGATGGTCAGCAATCTTAACACATTCCGATGGCACTTAGTGACATAAAATACTTAAAAATCATTATATTGTTACTAAAAGGCATTGTCCACAAAGACATAAATAAGAGGACAGGGGTAGGAGGGAACAGTGACTTACAGTGAAGAAGGTTGTTAGTAAAAGAAAAAAAGCGGGAGTAGTCGAGAAGAACCAATATATGAGAACCCACGGGAACGTCCTGGTCCAGCATTAAAGATTAGATGACGTTGTAAAGGCATCAGCTTTCATTCTTACCTATATTGTTCACAACTATTGTTACGTCTAACAGGGTAGAGGGAAGAGAACATTGTTACGTCAGAAGACTATGTTTTACCGTGGGAACGAAACATTCAGATAAACACACGAAAGAAGACAGAGAAATGACAATTCAAGTTGTATACACATATTACGAAGTAATTTCATTGACATTTCGTATTATTATTTAAAATAATGATTAACTTTTTTTTTTTTAGGTTTTACTGAAATTCCTTAATTATACAATCATTCATTAGATTAAAATCAATGCTGGTTTGAAGTAATCTCAAAAGATTAACAAAGACCCACTGTCAAAATGACCTTTACAGAATCAACTTTTTTCGCCTTCGGTGAAACTACATCAAAAGTATAATTTAATGTTTAAAATCATTTCAATAATCTGCTCCTTTGATAATGATCCACTTCACAACTTTCTGAATCTGTCGTTTTAGTAGTAGATGGCGCTACTATACAATTTATAGTAGTAGAGACCTTCAAAAATCAAACTACCGATTTCTTTTACATCTTATTTATGAATATTAATTCATAATGAGAAAACTTCAATTAATTTATTACAATATTATTTATAACACCAATGAACATTACAATAACAAATATTTTTACCTTAAATATTTCAAAAAAAGCTTTAACTTACATTGACGAAATGTCGTATAATGACAAAAGAACTAAACAATAAAATTTTATTGCGATGCTGTTTAGGTTACAAATAAACCTTTGGTACAATCAATCAAATATTTTCCCAAACTTACCAACCAGAGGGCGCCACAAACCAATAAAAACTATATTTTTTTTATAACGCGTGATTGAAATTCTTTCATGTAAATATTCATAAACAATTATTTTAATTTCCTCTTTAAGGAAGAATATTTTTAGAACGTTATGACATTTCGATCGAGGTTTTAGTATTAAATCAAATCTAACAATGTATTTAAATTTTAGAATTGATGTTGGTTACTTATGCACTTGCATAATAATCCGCGTAAATTGACAGATTATTTATTTATGGTTTAACAGAAAAATGTGGAATATGTTACGAGAAATATTTATTAATTGTGAGACTATTTGATTTTATTAATAGGGTTTCGCATGTTTCTTCACATGTTCCTTGACTTTGAAAAGCAGTTTTTAGTGTTCTTTTAACCTGACCTTCAAATTACGTCCTGATTTACCTATGTAAAAAGCTGGTCAATTACCAATTTATTGAAATTAGTAAATAAACAAAATGGACAAAAATTTTTACATTATTCAATGATAAATATATATCTTGGCAACACTCCTAAGAGGCTCAGTGGTACGTTTGACGGTTCATTGTGCTAAAATTTGGAATTCGATCCCTGTGGTTGGGACAGCGTAGATAGCCCATAGTGATTAACCAAAACAACCTTTGTATCGCAAATTTATTTGTAAAAAGCCTGATAAAATCAATGGTACTTTTGTAAAAAATAATAAAATCAAACGTATTTATAAAAATGATCAAAACATTTTCAGAATTATAAGTTTCAACATTTTTAATCATCTAAAAATATTTGATAAAGCTTAATTGTATTATTTATATAAATTGTGAACAACTTGGAACTCGTTTGGTTAAGTTTTTATGTCGTACTAGTAAACACACTGTAAATTTAGTACTGTCCTAGTCTACCAGTACAATTTATGATAACAAGCGCCTGGTTATGTGGCAGTATAATTCGTAACGTTGTAGGTTTGAGCGCACATGTCACAACTTGTTTATTTTCTGATATTCGCGCATGTTTCTCTACGGCTATCTATGCAAGCCGGTCCTAATTTTGAATTAATACACTAAAGGGAAGGAAGGTAGTCAACTGTACCTACCGCCAAATTATCTCACTAAAGTGAGATTTTTACGTCATCTTTACAACGAATCCACAGTTACAATTTCTTCTAAAATTTCGCTGTAACGGGACGCGAACAGTGATTTTTTATCTAACAGTATTGATGCTATTCATTCAAATTTTTTTTTTCCACGTGCTATGTTTACCTTTTAGGATTACACTTTGGTAAGGTAGTAGTTGAAGGCCCTATAATCCGCATAGGATAACATGATTCGATCACCCATTTAAGGTTGGTGATGTCTTTATGTTGCCAGATATACACACCGATCGTATAATATAAATACAAACACCCGTGTAAAATGTAACCCAATGTCTACAACCTTCTTCTGTGATAGTTTTAACAACTGTCCTTAGTTTTATCTTATTTCATTAGATCTTAGAGCGCCCTCTTTACATTTATCATTATCCTTGATTCGTTGTTTCAGACTCAAGAAAGTACGGTAGAAAATGTCAAAATTTAAATTACAGACTTTCAACTGTATTAATTTTATTTCCTTAGTATTTTCCGATAGGTGTTTTATAGCAAAACCACTTTGGGCAGTGTCAACGTCGGAGAATCGAACCTTGATGTTTAGCGTTGTATGTAAAGGTGCCCAATAAAACAAAAAATTAAAGACGTACTCAGAGTGCCTTCACCTCTCATGCTATAAACGTAATGTACGAGTTTTTGTTGTTAAGCATGTGTAATATGCTTAACAATTATGTTTGAAAACCAGTTGTTCACGTGTACTTGCATCTTTCGTAAACTTTCTTATTACATAACAGGTGTCCTGAACACGGCTTCGAGGAAGTTATTTTCTTTTTATAGTGGACTGATTGTCACATCATAACGCTCCCTCAGGTGAAAAAGCGAGCATGTTCGTTGCCTTGATCCGTATATTGGGAAAGGAGCCATGCAGGTCTGTTAACATAGTAGTAAAAACTTGTACAATATATACTAGGCGTGGATATAAACAACCGTACAAGATATTTTTTCATGGACTGTTAATATCAACAATTTTCCACAGTTGATGGGGAAACTCGACCACTAATTCCCGATTTTATTTTCTTTAGTTTGTCTGTAGTTAAACACATAGCTACACAATGGCCTATCTGTGCTGTGCCCACCATGTGTATAGCCCGTAGAAACCTGTAGCCCACAGCAATCTACATTAATATTTCCAATACTTGTAATAACCTCATGTGTCACAACGTGTTTTGTTTCAATAAACATCTGATTGAGGGAAATATTGTATTGTTACTCCCGTCAATAATCTAGCTGTATTTTAAGTTCACAAGTCATTATAAAAAATGTTAAAAATGAGGATGTACACATTACATTCATAAAATTACAATTAAAATCAATAAACACGACAAAAACGCGATGCCGATTCATAACAAAAGGATTTAAAATTATCATGATGGACCCGGGATCCACAAAAAGTGGGGTCCAAAGCTCCAGCAGTAAAGTTCTTCATATTATGAAACTAATTTCTTTAGTAAACATACCATGTAATGTTAATATACGTATTTTGCCATTAGTCCTTTTAATTCGCACACACAATTTAAACTTTCATTTCATAACTATACCTTGTTGTTTACTCTTAAAATCTCCCAGCCTCTTTTTGTGAGTACCCACGCATTTTAATGGAGCTAAAAATGAACTTGTGAAATTTTGACAAAACTTTTTTTTTTACCATCAACAACAAAATTCTGTAGTAAAGTTTTGTAGTCTTGTTTGTGTTTATTTTTTTTAATATGAAAACTAAAAAAACCCAATTTTTTGCACATAAAACCAAATCCTTTGATATAATTACCTTGTCTTTGTCATTCTCTAACAATTCAATATTTTTTAAGGACGACGAAATTAGTTTGAAACAAAACAGATACACAACCGTATATGGAAGCACTTTATTAGAAACATTAACAGTATTCATGGACAACACATAAACAATACACTCTGAGAAGATAAATCAGGAGACAAATTATTCCTTAAAGATACAATAATGGCTTGTACCAGTTAGGTACTTTTAAGTTGGTCAATACACTGTTACAAACATTTCTATTACATAAAAGAGCATCATTGATTTTACCCATTGAGACAATTAACCATGACCTAAGACTACCAGAGCTTTAGGTAACAGCCATATCTTGGGGGAGGGGGCACACACACACAAACAATTTGAACTATAATATTGATTGGTCAAAATGAAAACAAAAACACTATTTATCTGGTTTTGACACAAAATTAAATCTTTGAATTAAACAGTAAAGCTTACACAACTATGACATTGTTTTATCTTCATCATCCAACCTCACATAGCCATCCATCAAAGCCTCCTGTCAAAAGGTAGATAACAGTAACTCTACAATCCAGTCTTAGATTTTGTTAGAAAAAAGAATACATTCTCAGCTTGATACTATAAGAACCTTTAGTTTGTATTCATCTTGTCCAAGTCCCATCTATGAAAATCACTTTACAGAAAAAGACACTAAACCCTAAGTCACAACACACTATTACAAATCTTTTATGCACCAAGATAGTGAGTGACCTACTGTCGCTCTTTAAATGTCATATTAAAATGTGAGCTGGAATGATTTGTCTCCTGTAATAAACAAACTATGAAAATGAAAACCATTTTTCAGCTATGGAGACTAAACAGTGCTACAGTGATTGTGTACTAAAAAAACACATTAAAAAAAATATGTATATATAGCAAATAAAATACACAAGTAATGCTTTCAAATATTAAACTATCAGTGGCCTCACATAATCAGAAATAAATTTCCAGTCTTAAAACCATCAGGATCACTGTAAAACTAAAATAAACAAAATTTAAATACTGCTCCTTGCAGTTTTAAGTATCATAATAAGCACTATAAAAAAGAAAAACTTGGCACAGGAAATCTACAAAACCTCACCATGCATCAGCTTCTTCCTTTACTAAGCTTAATAACAAAACACAACTCATTAAGTACTTGAATGATATTTTTTTACACTAAAATATTGTGAACTTTCAAGTTTTAAAATGTGTATTTGACTCTTCCAGATCTATAGAAGCACATGATGTTTAAAAAAAATGAAACTTATGAAGATGCCAGTTTTAAGTTCTGTATGACAGAATGTGATCCATGTATATCAACAACTACTTACTGAACAATGCTTGACTAAATTTGAATTCTTATCTTTCTTTAAAATTTTGTCCTCCCTGTATACACACTAAAAAAAATTTTGTTATCAGCACTGTCTTTGGTATATTTGAGCCATGAGAAGTATCAACATGTCAAAGGTAAATTCTTAGTGTATTCCTCAATTCAATAAAAATCAGGAAGCTGCCTTATAAACCAAGAAAGTTTAAACAGATTACACACAGCCCTATGACATACAAAATTTTGCTTTAATATATAGAAAATTTAGGAAATAAAGGGCATCTAAAGTTCCTAATGCATAATAGTTATAATTTATGTACATTTACAGTTAGATGTGAAAGTTTATATAATGTCAAAAACTAAAATGGCAGACAGAAGAGAGGCTATTTTAACAAGTAGAAAAGTTGAAATATCAATGCAGCCACCTATATCTTACATTAAGTAATTATTGTAATGCAAGAAAAACTTTCCTTGGATGATATCAATATCCTTGAAACTTGTTCAGAAACATTTCAAAATGCAATATGCTGTTTTTTTTTCCTCAATATATAAATTTGGTTCACTTTTAATATGATAAACTAAACTATATTTTATGAGAAAGAACCTTTTAACAAAAAGCAGTCTGGAAAGAAGGAATGATGGAAGCACTACTTCATAACTAGCTGCCTTCCTAGTAAAAAAATAAAAAAATTGATCAGTTTTCAATAACTCAGAGGTCAGTATCATACCATGCAGTCAGCTGACCACTAGCATCTTGCTGGGAAGAGGGATGGGGCAGAGTAGGCTCTAAAGTATCAAAGTTCAAATCACTTGGAGACCCTAAATCCATTTCAGTGCCCATAGGAGCATATCCAGTCCCACCTCCTTGAGGGCCACCAAGATCCAGTCCTTGCATGGAATCAATAGGGACCTGTGTGTCAAAACCTAGAGAAAAAAAAATTATAGTTAGGATAACAAATAAATAAATAAAAATAAGCCAAAAAACACTAATATTTTTTTAAGAAACTAAGGAAGTGATTAAAAAAGAACATCTGTAAAGACTAGCAGTAAAATACAATTGGCAAATATTTAACCCCTATATTTAATATAACTAACATAACTTTAGTCTAAATAAGGATATGTAGAACCTAAAGATGGGCACACACACTCTTATTCAGTGATTCAGTACAGAAGTTTTTCAAAACTACATATCCTATAAAAAAATCTCTCTTCATGGACTCACAGTTAAAGTTGTTAATTTTAAAATTCCGTTTAATTGTAAATTAACTTCCATATGATATAATTTAGATCATTATTTTACACTCATCACCAGGTTTCAATTCTTTATAAAAATCATTAAGAGTTACGACTCTACCACATTAGAGTAAAAAAGTTAAGGGCGTACCAATTTATCCATCCACAGGTTAGATAGCATAAAGATGATAAACAAGAAACATTAGTACAGATACACAATTACACTTTACAGGGTTTATATAACCAAAAACATACATGTAAGTCTATAAGTATGTTTATGTAAAAGTCAACTTTTAATCTAAGGTGTTTTTAAAGATCTAGGTACATTCCTATTTCAAAAAACTTGCTGCTTTCGATACAAACTGTAAATTAAAATAATTTATCACTTTCTTACACTTTTGAAATAAGGTATACAAACTCTAGAGTAGCATTTTGTTCTCATGCCATGGAGCTCTGAAAATGTTTGTAGTTTAAACTGGAGAAAATGGGAAATAACAATCTGTACTATAAATATTGTATCAAGGTATAAACTGTTAAATACGTTTCATTCAATAATATGACTTAAAATGTTAAAACAATAAGGCAAATTACTAGCAGTTCCCTGACAAGTATATACACAAGCATTTATCAAAAAACAAAGAAGAACGTGCTTTTATCAATTCTTAACAACACATGTATAATGATATGAAAATGTTAATACAACTATCACATCAACAAATTAAATTAACATTATTGCTGACAAATTATTACAGGATTTAAAAAAGTTCACAACAGACATATAATACAAGTAACCTTACAAAAAAATCAATACTTTGAGTTTAGGAAGTACGAAATGAAAATTTAGTTAACTTCAACTTTGAATAATATAAATAATTATCAGAGTCTTCAGTTAAATATATGAACAAACTATGTTTAACAACAGTCAAGTGTATGGGAAAATGCAGTTCTCTCTTTGTTTATTAACTTGTAGGTGTTTTTGTGTCCAGGAATTTAGAACATGGGTGAATATTCGTCCAAATATAAGATTTTTCCCAAACTCTCAAAGAACCTAAAAATTCTTCTTTAACTTTTCACCTTATCCATCATCACCATAGCAACATGGCTTCAACATCAGTATATACCTACTATACGTTTCCCCATTTCTTCCATTTTCCTTTCTTTTCCCAAGTGTTTAAAATCTCAATTATTCTTTTTACACACTTGTTTGGAATGTTTACTCCTGCTGTAAACTCAAAATCATTGGTATCATCCCATTCAATAAGTGTTTTATTATTACATTTAAACAGTTTGGTAAAAACTTTAATCATATCACATACTGATAAAATGAAATAAGCAATTCTGTAATTGATTAATGATGTCATTAGAAGGGCACAATTGACCAATTGGTAGTGACCAAATGTTTTATTCAAAAAAATCCAACAAAAATTCTTAAAGTTTTCTAATAACTTTGCCAACTGTGTAAATGGGCTTGAATATACTGTAAGCATAAAGCAAAGCTGGAATTAAAACACAGCCACAAAAGTCATTCTTGCTGAATGGAGCTGACCAACATTAATCAAAGCAAATCAAGTAAGATATAATTGGTAGGTACTAACCAAGTGCTAATATGACTATAATAGCATGGCTGAAACAGCCTAGCACATCTATCAATGGGAGACATATAATTAATATTATGGACCTGTATAGAAAATGTAACTAATTTGTCACGTTAGCAACCTGAATTTCAAGAAATATAATTAGTTGCCAATAGCCTTACACACTATTAAATACAGAGCTCCAATTTTATGTCACAGAAGTAAGTCTGCGCAGCTAACAATTTGAAATTATGCAGCATAAGATCACTGATTATAGAGAATAAAAGTATAAATTATGCATTTCTTTACTACATAAGAATAGTACTATAGGTTATACAACCCTGACCTAAACTTAAGACATATTTTACAAGATAACAAAAACACTTTTAGACTCAGCAGTATTTGAACAGGCTATTAACCCTAACACCCCAGATATCCTTTACTGCACATGACACAAAGTTTTAATGTCTTACATTCAAAATTTTATCAAACTACTTTTTGTTTATGTTATACTAATTAGAATAGAATATAAAATTAAACATAAATTACTCTATAAAATCGTTATTGCTCAGACAAACCATAATTTTGTTTGGTTACAGAGCTATCGAATAGAAAGTCAAGGTTTCATCTATCAAATGACGTATTGTATAACATGGTGTTCTGAACAGAATATCGTCAATTTCTCTCAGAGTACAAGATTCGTTCCCATGTGAAATTTAATGGCTAGCTTGGATGAATTTGTAAAAGGCTCATCACATAGTTAGAAAGCCTGAAAAATTTTGAGACTTAGGGGAAATTGTCTACTTTTTGAATGTTATTAGTCTATGTTATTTGGTGCATTATTTAATTAAATAAAAATCATTAAATGCATTACTATTAGTACTATAAAAGGTTAGGGTTAACTTTCCTTGATACCCGATTTATTTATTATTATAAAAGTAACTAAAATCTATAAAATATGGATCTTTTCAAGTTATTTAAGACTAGATTAGATCAAATTGACCAATCCCATTTTGAGATAGGGTAGAGAAAATAACAGATAAACTATAAAGTTTTACTGAAAAAAAAAAACGTTTGAAATTCATTTAAGAGGTTTTAGGGATTACACAAAGGACATTTGAGATTTTTGAGATGAGAAAAAGTATTTTTTTAAACTAAACTGTCACTCCTGTTAATAGCACACAGTGTGTTCTGCAGGTGTTTTTTTTTGGCTGCAAGACACACTACCATGTGTCTTGATCATAAATATTAGAAGGCTCAAAAATACCAGAACACTTCCAATTTGTGCCAAATACTGAAAAAATTAAAACAGGGAAATACAGCTACAATTTGAAAAGTAGCAATGTTAATTTCTTTGCATACAGACTTATGATTACTAAGCTCAAAGGGTTATATATATATTCATTACACAAGACTGTAAATAGTAAAAAAAACTGAATAAACCATGACAGAAATTAAACTAGAACAAATTCTATTAATTCTTTTCTTCTAGAAACTATTTATTTATAGGCTCCTATTAATCTTTGGAATAAAAAAAAATTAAACTACTATTTCGCTCAAGATACATAATGTCTCACCTTGCTGGGCATAAGGATTGTGTCGACCACCCAATGAATGGACACTTGGTGGACCTTGGCTACCTTGATAAATCTGATCGTGGTATGCTTCATCAGGACCAAGCATGTTCATGTCTATGTCTGCTGCCTGGAAAAATGAGTAAGGCTGCTCCAGAACAGAACATGTTAGCAGTTAGAGAGAACAAAAAACCTTCAGAGTTAAGATTTATTTAATATAAGTTTTTTAAATTTTATACATAAATAAGAAAAAAATAACAAATTTTGATTTTGGGTTGATATCATTGTGCTCCAAAAGAAATCATTAGTGTTTGTGAATTTTCTCAGTATTGTATGAGCAAAATACAGCACTGAAGGAGGAAAAGCATAATAGTTTTGAATAAAACTGTGCTCATTTGACTTTGTAACTTGAATACAATTGTAATTTTATCGATCTTCAGCCAATCAGTACTCATGGTGTGATCTAAACATGTAATGAAAAAGTTTTCTGCTCTTTAAACTTATATGGTGTCCAGTTCAATAGAGATTAGAACACAGTGATATAAACTTAGCCTGGTGATATGCTGCTTGAAGAAAAGATGCTTAACAATTTCCACTAAAATTACATTACAGTCCTCATTTTCTTTTTAATGTTTGTGAAAAGCTTGTATAATTTTTAATTGACATATCCAAAACCCTAACTGATATTCACTGTCTAATAAAATATGGAAACATTACTTTAGAATTGCACATCAAATAAATCATATAGAAATTAAAATTTTCATAAAACATCACATAAACCAACCATCACTCCTTAAACCGAGATTCTAATTTACAAGACACCATGCCATCAATCAAAGACTTCACTGGTTAAAGGTTTGAAATCAGCAAGTCGTACTAACAGTAACAATATTGAAAAATCAAAGCTAAAGCTTCATACACTTAATTTTTACCTACTTATTTCAATAAGTATTTATTCAGAATAGGGCTGGTTGTTAAACTACACAAGAGGCTATCTGTGCTCTGCAAAACCAAGCAAAGTTATTTGAAAATGGCAACTAAATAGTGTGAAATCAAATATAATCTCAGTGAATGGCAAGAGAAGTTTAGATTTAATTCCTGTAATTCTTGTTGTAGTGAGTATTTCTTCTGTATTATACAAATGTCAAGCTGTAACATGATTTATAACCACAAGTTTAGTGGCATCCAGTGGTGCATCATAGTTACACTAGTAATGTCACAAAACAAAAGAATCCACCACTAAACAATTATTCTTTTTTTTTTACTATAGATTGCTTCATAGACCACTTACTGTTCCACCCCATGGTGCACTTTCTTCCCTGAAGATAGAGTTGGTCAGTTCCATTGAGAGCCTCTTTTTATAATCCTGAGGTTTGTCCTCTGACATTCTAAATAATACTGCAGCTGCATAAGTAGCTGTAACAAAAACATATCAGTATCACATTTTATAATTCCAAATGAAAAAAGAGAAAATTAATAACACAACATGGTAAACATTACTTATACTTGATCAAAGTGCATGATCTGATGGAAATGAAAAGCAAAGTCTTTGAATTATAAAAGCATCCACTGCTGAAACTGAAAAATGCCTTCTAAAATCAACTATCAAAGGAAAGGATATATATATATAATTACTATAATATATTAATGTTATTTAAAGTATACTTACTTTAAAAAAAAGTAAGCAAAAAAAAACCAATTCTGTTTAAAAATAAACAAAACCAAACATGTCCAAAGTACCAAGATCAAGTTATTAAAAGAGAGAGAGTTAGTAGATTATCTATATGACATAATACCCCACACATTATTGCTACTGAACGATATACTCCATCAGTTAGGGTGCTCTACATACTAACATTCAATGCTTAACTAGCACCCACAACTCAAGCTGGCTTATTTATTTTACATGAAAAATAAATGCAATACAACACACAAACATTGGTAGTACACTCTAAACAAAATCGTTTAACTCTTTTAACCCAGGCTCTTGTTATAGTTTTCATGTTATAACTTTTAATTTTGTAAGCAAATGTTAACGAAATTTGGCATTTTATCAGTAAAAATTACAATGGTTTCATAAGCAAAATATCTAATTTTTTATTAAGTTTTAAGGTTTGTAAAGCAATGTTTCTCTCATGCATTTTTTTATTTTCACATCTTTCCTATCTATCATGTAAAGTAATTTTCATCTTAACATTAAAAATATTTTTATGCATCATAAAATTTCAAATTTTCACATGCGAAATCTTTATGATGTCCAAATAGTTATCAAACGTTTCTTAAGAAAAACTTTATATTTTATCTGTTATTTTCAGTAATTAATCTCTGTATTTGGGTTTAAACAAATATGAAATTTTGAGGAGACTAAAGACACAACCTACCTCATTGAAATCTTGATTTAAAAGAAAGAAATGAAGCTAGATATGATAGAAAGGCTTAGAAAACCACTAGGGGGATATTCTGAGCTTCCGATTGGTTATTCATGTCATATATAGAAGCGTTTCCAAAAATGGAAAGAGTTTGGCAGGTTGCCACTTTGTTTGACTTATTACGTGAGCAATATCTCAGCAAATAGAAAAGATAACACCTTCTTATTTTATATTCTAGTCTGTTAATATCTGAATTTCTAATTCGTATGAAACTACAGACTTAGTGTTTTGACTTTACAAACATCTCATTTGAACCAGTGCTGCAGTCAACATACCATGTGACACACAAAAAGCTATGTTTATCTGTGTTTTTCAATATTTAATTTTAAATTAATAAATTGAGTAATGTATAGTTGTACCCTCATATATCTCTGCATTTTGAGGTTCCTTTATATCAATGCATCATCAGATTATTGATAGGGGAGAGATGAAATAGTACAAAATTTTAAATTTCCAGCACAGTCTCCAACTATCTGTTTACACAACTGTAACCAAACAAGATGTCTAGCCACACAATTTTTCACAGGAGTTTGTTCCACAAAAAGATTCTTTAATAAGTTTAAAGACCTGCTCTTTTAAAACATCATATTAAGATCAAACCAATAAATACCATATTAAGCAACATCAACTGCATGTTTTATACAGTTGTTCTTTTGATATAAAATTCAAATACATTATAATTTAGAAACCACTTAAAAGAAAATAAACATTTTGAAGATGTTTAACTTTAAACTTTATTGCTATTAGTTATAAAACTATAGTAACAACAAAAAAAAAAAGCTTTTCAAAGAAACCAAATTTTAATTCTTGAATATAAACATTATCTGTAATATCAACATACCAACTCCTTCATTACGTGAATGAAGTAACTCTGTAAGTGGAGCTGTTGCTCCTTCTGCTTCTATCATCTCTGCTCCTTCCTTGTCTGTGGCCAGCTCACACAAAACCCCAGCTCCAACTCTCTGGACATTTTCTATTTCACTGTACAATAGCTAGAGGATAAACAAGAAAAATTAGTTTCTAACTACCATGTAGTATTCATAATATTTGTGTGTTCAGTTTTTACTTTATACTTGCACGTGTGTTGACTATATACGAGTGTACACACAAATAATAGCTCCAGTCACTTCTAAAATATTAGAATTAAATAAATCCATTCTAGGAGATAAATATTACATGAACCATACCTGAACAAAAACAGGGATGACCTGCAACCCTCTTATTATAGCACGATTATGAGCTTCCCTAGCCAGAATGTGTAATGCACCAGCAGTACCCTCTACAATCTCTTCCATTCGAACACCATCTGCATAAGATGATTGACTGTTGTTGGAAGCCACACTGGACCTTTGCTGTAAAAATATAAAACAGAAATGACCACTTATTACAAACATGCATTATATGCCCATGAAAGCAAACAAGGTGAGTTATGAAAAATTATCACACACTAGTTTATATTCTATACTTGTAATACTGCTCAAGAAAATACTAAGATGTAAACACTTTTGTAACATACAGTTAAAACAATGGATTGATTAAAGAGAAAAAGATTTAGGTTGAAACAAACACACACACTTCATACTGAAATTATACAGCTAGTTTAGTTTTCTATGTAGTAATGGCTTACCCTCTGAGTGTCTTGGTAAGATTTAAACAACAGCTGTACAAGACGAGGTATTGCTCCATGTTCACGAAGAGGAGCATGGTTAGCTGGGCACAGGGCTAGGTTACGGATCAACCCAATCACAGCCTACATAAATTGAGATACAAAATGTAAAGTAAACAGCCTTTGTCTTTATTAAACATTGAGCTAGTAAGAACACTGAAGGAAGCTAATAATATAAATATTATTTTGCAAACAAGTCTTAACTTTTTTAACAGATGCCAACCTTAATTGATATGAAATAGGAATGCCAGCCTAAAAACAAAACCAAGAATCTGAACAGGAAAAATTGAATACATGCATTTGCTTTCCTGCCTTGAGTATAAAATGCATGGTTTTAACTTACTTGGACAGTTTAATGCACAACCAATCAGCAGTTTATTCAGACTAAAATATATTGGCAAAAGCTCCATATCAGGTTGGCATTTATAAATGTTCACGTTTCTTTAAATTTTACCTTTAGTTTACTTTACGAGTATCATTTAACTATTCAACTTACCAGACACGTGTAGTTTTTATTCTTCATTAAGCTCCTTACTTTTGTGGTATTTTAAGTGTTAGGGTCGTGTCTTGATATGCCAGAGTTCCATATTGAAATTCAATTTTTTTATAAATTGTAATTGTTGCGTTGATTTTTTTTCTTATTTTTACTTCTCCTTCGTGGATATTTTTTAGTAAACTTACCTGTAAATTTTATTTTGTTTCTCCCCTTTCAATTTCTTTACTATAAAAGGAGGCACATCCTGATATAGAACTCCTTCCTACAGTTTTTTTTACATACATTCATATCAACAAATGAAACTAATATGGCTGATGTAACTTGTGATTTGCAAATAATTTATTCAATGTTAGATAAGTGTTTGACTGGTTTAAGCACAGCCACGAAGTACAAATGCTTATCTTGATGATGTCATTTCTACATTTCACCCCAACAACAAATTTTTTAGATCACATTACATCAAACCTGCAAAACAAAACAAGAATTTAAAGGCTATCACTATTACGGCATCATCTGGAGTTAAAAATTTAAATAATTTTGCTAGAATCAAGATTGGGTGGCATCTCTGTTTTTATATTATTTAAAATAAATTTTCAATATTTGTTTTCTAATTCCAAGTTCTGAAAAAAAGTACGTTACATAAAACTGAAATTAATAGTTTATTTTTATTGCTCATTAAGTTCACTAAAGGTTCTGAACATATTTCAAGTGTGTAAACCAAGATGTTAACAACAGATGCAAATAGAAGTTGTGAATATAAAACAGATGAAAATTCTTTTTTACCTTTGAGTACTTCGGCTGTTTAAGTCTAATAATAATAATTTATACTTCTTCCCAAGATGATTATTGTTGTTATTGAAAAAATAAAACCAAACAATACAACTCTCTTGCTACAGGATCGGTCAATTCGACGAAGTTCATAACCTCAAAGTGACTATCAGAGTTCCCGTACTATAACTTTTGTACACAATAAATCAGATTCTGTAATTAAGTATTTTTACTAAGAACTTGTCTGTACATATACAAAGTGTTGACTTTTCTGAGTGCAAAATGATTTTCACATTAAGATAAAAAATACTTTTTCTTTATTTGCAAAATTGGTAAATTTCATTTGTGTAATTTCTAAAACCTCCTAAATAAATATCAAACGTTTTTTTCCAATAAAACTTTATATTTTATCTGTTATTTTCACAGAATTTAAGTGTACTTTTTTATACTAATGGTATTAGTACACTAAATAATATTTAATTATTTAAATAATATAACTAACAGCACAGAAGAATAACATGCATGAAGCAAGCAATGTCCTATAACTATCATAATTTAACTACAATATAAGAGCCTTAAAACCTACTGACAATTTGTAAAAGGAAGGATGTGATGGTGGGCATGGCAAGTGGGGTCCAATTTTCTAGTTTATGACTCCATAAACAAATAAGATTGAAGGCTATAAAAATTAGACTTTATCTTAGAAATTTCTAAGATATAATGAGTAGGTTACATAAAAGTCCATACTTCAGTGAAAAGTGGAGAAACCAACAGAACAAATATCACTATTCTCAAACTAGGGGAAATTGATGATTGTTTTAAATACTTCCTTATAAAATTAAGAACTTAAAACTGAGATTGTATTAAAACTTGATTTATTAACTATGCTTTGATGTCAAGTTTATTCATATATATATATTGATAATCAAGTAGTCTGATTAAATTTTAAATGTAACTCTCCAAAAGGTTGCGACATCTACACTTTGACCTACCCAATGTGAGAGGGTTAATCACAATTCATATAAACTAGAGTATGGTTACGATACAATCACCTACCTTAATAAGAGGCCAACGACTTGGTGGATGTAAAAGCTTAACAATAACCTGAAGTCCATAATGAAGTCGAACAGCATTTTGAGCCATTTCAGCCTCAGGATGACGACTGGTTAAGTGACGGAGGGCACAAACCTAAAATAGATTTATATTAGTACTTCAAAACTTAACAGATTTTACAGTAACAAAAATATGAAAAAGTTAACATTATTACCCCAAAACAAAGCAATAAAAGAAACTATATTAAAATGTTGTAATCAATCCTTAAAACATAAAATGGGGTTGATGGTATTCAAAACTCTTCAGCTTAAATTGTAGTACAAACAGTTTATATTTCCATTCAAAGCATCCTATAAAGAGTAAAAGAAAATTAAAACAAAACTGCTTATGAAAATTGAAATTTTGTAATTGAGAAAATAAATGATCAAAAATATCTAGTCTGCACTTTCAAACACCAATGAAAAGTTTGTTATAACTTACTGCAGGTTCTGTTATTTCTTCTCTATCTCCTGCCTGAATGATGGTGCGAACCAAATTTTCAATACCTCCAACCTGACACACTAACATCTTATTACGGAGATTGTTACAGGTTAGGTTTGATAGAATGCCAGCTGCACAGGTCACCACATTGATATCGCTACTCCCTAGGAGCTGCACTAGTCCATGAATCAGAGTATCAATACTTTCCTAAAAATCAAAATCCACAATAACTTCACTTTAATAAAATAATAGTGTAAAATAGCTTATTCAACAGCAATCAATCAGATTTTTAATCTTAACAATAGTCACTTGGAACTTAGTTTTTTAAATATATCCTACAAACTGCTCAGGTGTTCTTTGATAGCAAAGTCAACACCTACTATAATGGTTCTCTGTTAAAACTTAGGTGACACAAGTGACTTTTGTTTGTTAAGATAATGCTGGAAATAATCCTTATAGTTTTTAAACAATATAAGGATTCTTCAAGTTTAACTTCTAAAACTTTGCAGGTGAAAATTATGGACACTATTATATTTTTATTATCTACCACTTAGTGTTTCAGAATGCCATTGAGTTTCCAATATGCCATTTAAAAAAACACACACATTAAAACATAATAAAATTGTTAGAAAATGTTTTTATTGAAGGAATGATTCATTGCCTTAATATAGTGGACAAAAGCTTCTCTCACATACAAATGTGTTACAAAGTATACACATAGAATCTGATAAGGTAAGCCTTAAAATAATGACTACAATAAACAATTTAGAGGCTTATATCAAAGGTAGGTTGTATAACAAAGCATTATTGCAACTTTTGACAAAGATAATTATAAAAACATCAATCAATGTCCACTTTTATCTTCATACGATCTTACTCGTTAAGCGTCTGAATTTAACAAGCCACAAGTAATTCAATACTCTTTCATCAAAATGCTAGCTTACCTGTTTAGTACCTGCATCAGATAAGTTTCTAAGTGTCCATAAGCAGTTTAATACCAATCGTTGACTCTGATGGCCGAGATGCATGGACAAAGCCTGCATGCCACCTACAAAAATAAAAGCTTAGTTTTCAATACTCTACAAAATTAGTAAGATATGGTACACTACTTTTTTACAGTAGTAAGTTTAGATTTGAATGTATAGTCCTACATAACATTTTATTTATTACACATAAAATGTTCATTTAACCCTCTCTGCACGGGCATCCTTCACTACATGTTACCAAGTTTTTTGTGACTTACATTCAAAATTTAATTAAACTACTTTTTTGTTTATGTTATACCAATTAGTACAGGATAAAATCATAGCTAATAATCCATATTTTAATAGTATACAAGTGTTAAGTTCTTAATTTTATAAGGCAATATTAAAAAAAATCCTGAATTTCCCCTAAAATAAAAGAAATAACTAAGAACTCTTAAATATTTAAAATGATTGGTTAGAACAAGCTCTGAGGTTTGCATTAAGTAATGGGTATGCAAGATTTAATGGGGGAATTATATAAATAAATTAAAGGAACAGCTATGGGGAATAGAGTAGTTCTGGTTATAATATATATGCATATATTTGATCTGAAAAACATTTAATTTTTGGAAAATAGGAGGGAAGGTAAGCCCACCAATCTCATACATATTCATAGATAATATATTTGGAGTGTGGAACACTAACTTAGAGTCATTTATTAGTTTCCATGAAATTTTCACTTAATTATGCCATACCAGGTAGAAATGTAATGTTTTTAGATACTATCATTCCTGTAATGATGTGAAAATCATTACTGGTATTTTTAGCAAACTATCTATTATAGCCCTTTCTTTGACTTTCCACTCACATCATCCCAACCCATGCAGTTATAAAAAAGGTGTAGTTACTGGTTATCGTAATACTAGAAATAAACGACCTTATAACACCAAATTGTTGTTTTTATTTAATTAGATACACAACATTTTACTTTACAGCTTTTTTGGGAGCATTCCACTAAAGCTTTGTATTGTCAGTTATGGTTTGTGTTTTAGTGGAACACTCCTGAAGAAGCTGTAAAGTGAAATGTTTAGTCTAATTAAATAAAAACAACAATTTGGTGTTATAAGGTCATTCATTTATAGTATTAAAATGTCTTCTATACACCAATATGCACTACAAAAATTAAATATTAGTTATCTTCATAAGATTGATAAAAGTTTGTAATACAGACATATGAAAGGAGACTAAACAAAATTTCATTACTCTTCTCTGAAAAATGCTTACCCACAGGACAAAACAAAATAATAAATTTTTATAAACAAAAACAACATGGACAAGTTCTCATGAGCCATAGTAGAATTATATTAAACATTACTATGTATAGCTTCACATAAACAAAGTCAATTGGCCAATGACACAGTGGGAATACCAAGTATAGTTTTAAATTATTTCCTAGGTCTTTTAGTAGAGAAATTTCCAGACCCCTACATGAGCCCCACAAGAACCTTGTGATTCAACAGTCAATTATTTTTATACTGACAATACTGTGATCTCATTCAAACTTCTCAATAAACTTACCAGCTTCAACAATAGCAGGCTTGTTACTTGAACATACAGAAAGAACCTTCAGAACACGGGATGTGGTCCATAAAAGTTTCTCATAAGTGTAGGATCGCATTATTCTCACCAATTCTGCTGGACCTCCACTTGCTAGGATTATCAGCTACAATTTAAAATAATATTATTAAAACTAATATGCTTCTTTAACTTGTTTGTTTGTAATTAAGCACAAAGCTACACAATGGGCTATCTGTGCTCTGTCCACAACGGGTATCGAAACCCGGATTCTAGCATTGTAAGTCTGCAGACATACTGCTGTGCCACTGGTGGGCTTCTTTAATAACTTACTTCTATATTTTAAAAAATTCCCAATATAATTAAACTCTGTGTGTATTAACAAAAGCATGAAGAGCAATCTGGTTCATAAAGACTAGATTTTTCATGAATCTTCTAAATACTGAATATGTCTATTTGACAACTGTTGAGCATACATTTTCCAAAATTTATACTTTTATTTTAAACAAATACAATAAGAATGAATAGGAATACATGTATATTTCATGCCTTGATTAGGAGTAACAGATAAAAATGCATTATATGCAATTTTATCATTAAAAAAAGATCTTCAAGTGCTGAGAAATTCAATTTAAAGTAATTACAGACTTCATCAACTAACTTACATGATACTGTTAGATAATGCTTGATGTTGATAAATAACTTTTAGGTATGCTTTCAATTCCAATTAAATACATAAATAAAAAACACAACTCTTACCTTGCTTTCTTGATTTCCATAAGCCAAGATCTGAAGACAGTCTGTTACAATAGCCAAGAACTTGACATTGTTGCGCTGCAATAAAGCCACCATCTTCTGGAGTCCTCCAGCTAGTCTCACTGCCATCTTTGATCCTTCTTGATGCAACAGAAGATTGTGCAAAGTAGTGATGGCATAGAATAATACTGATTCAACAGGAGAACTGAAACACAAAACAATTTCAAGATCAGAACATCACAACAACTCTATTTTAAGTATACTACTTAAAGAAATGTAGCTTTCATAAACAATACAATAGTGTTAGGGTCAGTTACTGTTATGCAAAACACTTGACTTCACAGTCTTCAAATTATATTAATTATAGTAAATTAAATTATATTGTACTAAGTCACAAAGATAAACAGCTGGCTTACCAAATTCAGCCTTTATAGCTTTTGTCCTCAACGTAGCTGTATATCACGTGATACACAGGATAGAGTTCGGGTTGAAATATTAATTTTCTTCTTAATTTATATTAAATATTCAAATTATTTGTTACTTATTTTGATGATTAATTGGATTAATATGCTTAGTTATGTACCATGTTGTTGATGCTAAGCTAGGCTCGTATTTGTTTGCCCTGTTGATACAGTGTTGAAAGGTGGTTGACAGTTTTAACCTCTTACACAATATAATAATAATCAATTAAGAATGAATCAATGAATAAATGACAAAGAGATAAACAGCAGAATATTGCCATGGACCATTTGCCTCGTCTGGTCTGTGGTTCGAATTTAGGAATGTCAACACGAATGCCAAGACTGTACACTGACAAATATACTGTTAAAGGACTCAATATTTGGTGGAAGGATAGTCCGTGCTTTGGTCAATGCTAAAAACCTCCTCTGGCATATAACCACAAACATGACTATAAAAACAAATTCATGAATATCAAACATCTTAAAATTGTCTATATATTTGAAACATATCTTTCTCAACAAGATTAAATATAAAAATTTTTGGTTTACATATTTTATAGTGTAGGCTTTATATGTTGTTAAGCATAAAGCTTCACAATGGTCTAACTGTGCTGTGCCCACATTATCAAGTAAATAAACAAAAACTTGTGTTACATTTTTAACACTACCAAATAATGACAGTTTTTCTTAACACTATCTTATAAGTTACTCTTTCTTATTTAGTTCATGTTGGCTATAACTGGCTGTAGCAGCAAAATATTCTTAAATTGAGCATTAAGTACTTAACCCCCTTTTTATCCATTTCAACTAAAGAGAGAGAAATCAATTCAACTTACCTTAATAGTTTGACCAGTGCAGGAATTCCACCAGATTTGAAGATAGCAAGTAAACCTTGGCGATGATGTGATAAATTATGCAGAGTACCTGCAGCACAGCGTGTTGTTTCCAAATCGTTAGATGTTGACATAGCACGTACTAAAGCTGCAACAATCTGGGGCGAGTTCATTATGGCATGACGTGAAGCTTCCTTTTTGGATAGTTGGTGAACCATCATAGCAGCTTGACTAACTACAACTTGATCTTCATCATTAAGTAGTTTAATCAATTCAGGGACAGCTCGAGTTGCAAGATCAGCATCATCCTAATCAAGAGTTAGGAAAATATAATTTCCAAATTGCTCCAGAACAATTACTTGAAACGTGCTAACAGAAGCATGTGAGAAAGCATGTATACCATTACGAAAGTAAATTCCAATTTCAAAATAACACAAAAATAAACCTAAAAAATGATTGAAATTAATGACTACACACAAAACTTTTTGGCAATTATTTCATTATTTCTTTAGATGAACCACAAAATTTATAAACATTAAAAAATCTAAATACTAAAGTAACTATAAAAAAATGACACATCTAAGCAGGGGTCAAAGAATGATTCCTTAAGTTGGTGGTGCACCACAAAATTAGTTACCTCCATGATGGGAAAAGTGGGGATCTCAAAGCTTGAGGGTTTTAAGGTACTCTGAAATGAAATATGAGGATCTCTCTCTCTCTTTGAATTAAAATATTTTCAAATGAAACTAGTATTTTAACCTCAATGTGGTTCTAAGTCGTTCAAGACTTACATTTGATGTGTTCTAAAAACTTACAGAGGGCAGTATTGAAATGTCTTTTGTTTTCGTCTCTTTCAACATTTACGACTATAAAATACAACTTTTGAGTTAAGAGTAATAAGAAAGCTTAACTTATCATGTCTGGAAAGATTATTAAGGAAATAATGACATCATTCCCCTTAGAAAAACAAAATCAAAACATCTAAAAAGAAGAAGCATTTTTATGTAAAGTTTAAAAACTCAAATGAATGTTATTCAAAAGGATGTTGAAAATGAAGGTTCTAAACTGTATCAGAGGTGAAGTCTTGTTTTTATCATCTGACACGTTATTATAGCCAAAATCTAACCATATATATGTGTGTGTGTGTGATAGAAAAAACAATTTTTGATTTAATGTGAATGTGGAGCCACTGGAAAAATATTAACAG